AATCAGTCTTGTCTCTTTGACGAGTTCGTATCTTGGTGCGGAGAATGGCAAGGCTCACTGATGATGCCGACTACGAGGACTTCATTTGTCTCTTTGACGAGTTCGTATCTTGGTGCGGAGAATGGCAAGGCTCACTGATGATGCCGACTACGAGGTTTGTCGAGGGATTGGCTTCACTTTTCTCTTTGACGAGTTCGTAGCTTGGTGCGGCGAATGGCAAAACTCACTGATGATGCCGACTACGATGCCGGCGAAAACGAGTTCGTAGCTTGGTGCGGCGAATGGCAAAACTCACTGATGATGCCGACTACGATGCCGGCGAAACGTGCGTTCGTAGCTTGGTGCGGAGAATGGCAAAACTCACTGATGATGCCGACTACGATGCCGGCGAAACGTTTGAAAATGTCTTGGTGCGGAGAATGGCAAGTCTCACTGATGATGCCGACTACGATGCCGGCGAAACGTCTGAGAATGTCCAAGTCCACTAGCAAGGCTCACTGATGATGCCGACTACGAGGCCGGCGAAACGTTTGAGAATGTATCAAGACCACTGTCAGATCCACGGTCGGATAGTTCACTGATGATTGCGACAACGATGCCGGACAAACGTTTGAGAATGTACTCCACGGTCAGATGCTGGGAATCATGACAACTAGTATGGCAGACGACTTCGGACTCGGTGAGTTCTACATAGTCTCCCTGAACACAAGACCAAGTTGCGACAACGAGGTCAACCCACTTCTATTCAGGCTTAAATTCAATTTGAACCATTACCATGCGTTTCCATGTGGAGCCTAAAGTAGGCTGCCATCGTCCGACTCGGAAGGGCTGTTAAAGCAGAGCAAAGAGTAATGGAGGAGGGTGAAACAACATGCGGTCAATCATCCGAACGGACAGCTGAATGTGTCAATTACTGGTTTGAGGCTAAAATGGTTGAAGAGTTCAACCGCAAAGGGGGACTGATAACTAACATTTGGTTGAGGAAAGCGTAGCTTGAGTCCTGTAGGCTGAGAGGAAGACAGTACAGTCGGGATCAACTTTTGTCATAGCTAAAGTTAATCGATAAAAGTTAAAAAATCACGCTATTGCACATGAGGAGGGGTCGGGAAGACGTAACAATGTGGGGCAATAGGACAGGCTGACGAGGCAGATGTTGTAATGGTGCCTTAAGTTAGCGATGATAAATCAAGTGAGCCATAGACAAGACGATCTTGCATAAGTGGTTCCCGCAATTTGCTTGCGTTTGTGGCAAGAATTGCTTCTCAAAGTGAGCTATGCTGGTGGCTACGGTGTCTAGCCGCCCTGTCAACTAATCAGGCTGTTTTGAGGACAATATTAAGATGGCCTGAATTGGAGACAACATGGCGTCTGCTTTGCGCCTGATCGGGTGAAGGATAAAAGGAGTGAAGTAGGTAGGAAGACCAAGATGGTGTGGCCTTTTGTGTGGTTGCAGTCTCCTTTCGTTGTATAGAAGTTGTTTGAC